GTTAAGTTAATTTATACCTCTTTTTTTTAATTGACTGGTGGATGTTTTTAACTGTTGAGGGATGTTTTTTTTTTCATAGGGGTTTAAAGCAATTATTCAATAATTTCTCGACGCTATTAAGTTAAAAGAAAGTTGGATTATAAAACTTAGAGTCTAATTCTAATTTTTTTTTATAGAGAAATGAAAGTAGAAGTACAGTGTTTTTTTTTTACAGTGTTTTATGTGTATAGGAGAGGATAAAGTATTACTGTAGTTTGGTAACACGAAGACTTTTATAGACGGTAAATTTTCATACATAAAAATAATAAAAAATACAGTAATACATAGATAATAATTCTGTATTATATAAACAGTTCCTTCCTTGGTTAACTGGTCAGCTGTTCGCATATGTAAACAAAGTATCAGGAATTTAGTTTGCGTACAGATGTTAATAGTGAGTTAGTTTGTGTATAGAGTAACACGCTATTAACATCTCCCGTACAGACTCACAAAGACTCACAAATATGATGGTACCGACTCCAAACACCTGAGATAGAAGAAGACTCCAGCCAATCCCTCACTGCTCACCTCACCCACCCCCTCACTGCTCACCTCACCCACCTCACACTGCCACCCACCTCACTGCTCACCCTCTCACTGCTCCACCCACCCCCACTGCCTCACCTCACCCACCCCTCACTGCTCACACCTCCCACCCCTCACTGCTCACCACCCCCCACTGCTCACTTCACCCTCACTGGTCACCCCACCTTTCAGCCTATTAACGTGATTAGACCCAAGGCTTCATCATCATCACACCTAATTACTGCTTTTATCTTATCAACGTTGCTGAGTAATCTTACCATAGTGCAGGTGTAGTGTATTATTTATATTATTATTATTATTATATTATTATTATTATTATTATTATTATTATTATTATTATTATTATTATTATTATTATTATTATATATTATTATTATGTTGCGACTGATGGATTATCGTGTGAATTTCCAGTCTGTTATATGCTCAACACACACACACACACACACACACACACACACACACACACATCTGATATGAGTGAGCTCTCAAGGATTCATCTAATGTATTGTTGAGAAAAAAGTATTTACTTGATGGAAAGACAGCCTGTTCTTGGTCACTCTAGGTCCTATAACAATTATTCTTTGATTTTTTTGTAAACTATTAGGTATTTTATTAACGTTTTGAAACCATTAACTGACATAAAAAATATCTGTATCTGTGTTTCATAATAACTCATAATATAAGAGTTATAATAATGAAGAAAGAGTTATTGTTTTTCGTATTAAATTTCGTGAAGTCTTATAGGTTTTTCTGGAACACCTTCTTATAACCAGATACATTTGGTTCACTGTGTTGGGGTCATAAAGTTAAAGATTTGGACGAATTGGAACTTTTAAGCTGTATTTGGGAAGTTAAGATTTTAATAAGTAATTCAAGATTCTACAATTAGTTACAATTAAAACAATAATATTTGACTACGTACTCTGTGTGTATGTACTGTGTGTATGTACATTGTACTGTGTGTGTGTGTTATTATTATTAACGGTTTATTGAAAGTTCTGCAGCCCAGCTGAAAATATACATTGACATAAATGACTTATTATACATTGTGTGTGTGTGTGTGTGTGTGTGTGTGTGTTAAGGATATGACCATTGACCAAATATATGTGAATGCTTTCTACTTCTATGTCTTGACCCAATCCTGTCTGTGTGTCTGTCTGTGTCTCTGTCTGTCTGTCACGTCAACACCTGTCACCAACCAAGATACCGCGCTACCAATTTCCATTTTCATTTCATTGAAGTATATAGGCTATCAGGTTACTTGGGACGCGCCAAAAACACCTTTACCTGTCTCCTCGTCTCCACAGGTGATGGATGATGTTAACGATTTATCTTAGTCTTGAAGCAACGTTGATTAAGTCTTGGTTCCATCTGGTAGATTATTACCTGTTGAAAGATTGATTACAGGTATTAAGGAAAGATTGGTGTGTGTGTGTGTGTGTGTGTGTGTGGTGTGTGTGTGTGTGTGTGTTCATTCCAATTTACTACATATTATAGCCTATATCAAGATGCATCATTAGCTCATGGCTAATTTTTATCCTTATGACTGGCTAACTAATTGACTGACTGGCTGGATGATTGGCTGAATGGCTAATTGACTGATTGACTGAATGGCTAATTGACTGAATGACTGACTGACTAATTGACTGACTGGCTGGATAATTGACCTGATTGACTGAATGGCTAATTGACTGAATGACTGACTGACTAATTGACTGACTGGCTGGATAATTGACCGATTGACCGAATGGCTAATTGACTGATTGACCGAATGGCAATTGACTGATTGGCTGAATGGCTAATTGACTGATTGACTGAATGGCTAATTGACTGAATGACTGACTGACTAATTGACTGACTGGCTGGATAATTGACTGGCTGAATGGCTAATCTCTCGACACTAATGCATCTGATGACCACTTCTTATTCCTTGTTTGTTTGTTTGTTGTTTGTTTGTTTGTTTGAAGAGGTAAACAAGAGTCTTTTAAATAATGTTTGAATTTTGTGAATAAATGAGTAAAGACGCTACCACCTATTTACCTATTTTTACCTATCTATCTACTTTTTACCTACCTATCTTATCTACTTTTTACCTACCCATCTACTTTTACCTACCTACCTACTTTTTACCCCTACTTTACCTACTTTACCTACTTTACCTACTTTTTACTCTACTTTTACCTATTTTTTTACCTACTTACCTACTTTTCCCACTTACCTACTTTTACCTACTTACCACTTTCTTTACTTACCTACCACTTTTTACCTACTTACTCATTTTATTAATTTTACCTACTTTTTTACCACCTACCTTTGAGTAATCGAGCTAATCTTCCCCTTAACTCATCACAAACACTGAGTTCTGAGTAAATGATGAATAACTGATGAATTGAAGGGATATATGTGATATTTTTTAATCCATCCATCCCTTACTAATCACCAACCCCCTCCTCCTCCTCCTCCTTCCTCCTTCCTCCTTCCCTATCTCTCTATACTCCTTCAGGTTAGTGAGTAAAAAAAATAAAGATGAGTCTGTTTCTCTTAACACCGAGTGGAAGGTTATATAAACGAGGTAATCAACAGTAATTCTTCCTCCTTTTTTTTCTTATTCTTTCTCTTCTTATTCTTCTTTCTTCTCCTCCTCCTGCTCCTTCGTCTTCGTCTTCTGAGATATCTCTATGAAGTGTGGGGGGAGATGAAGTGTTCCACCCAAGGGTCTTGCACCACCTTCCTACACACACATTATTCTCATCCATTCTATTACACACACACACACACACACACACACACTCTCTCTGGTGCAATATATAATTACAATCCCAATTCTTTCTCCAGCCCCCACTCTCTCCACCTCACCCTCTCCACCTCTGCCTCCACCCTCACACCCTCCTACCTCTTACCTCTCCTCCCTCCACCTTCACCCTCCACCCCTCCTCCACCCTCACCCCTCCTCTACCTTCAACCTTCTCCACCCTCTCACCCTCCTCCACCTCACCCTCCCCCCACCTTCACCCTCCTCCACCTCATCTCCCTCCACCCCTCACCCTCCACCACACACCTTTCTCCCCGCCCACCTCTCCTCCACCCTCACCCTCCACCCCACCTCCCTCCACCCTCACCTCCCACACCTCCTCACTCTTTCTCATATCTCCTCCACCTCATCCTCCACCTCACCCTCCTCCACCTCACTCTTCCACACCCTCCCTCACTCTTTCTCATCTCTCCTCCACCCTCACCCTCCTCCACCCACCTCCTCCACCCCTCACCCTCCTCCACCCCACCTCCCCCTCACCCTCTCCTCCACCCTTACCTCCTCCTCAATCTTCCACATTCTGACCACCCTTCCCATACCAGAGACCACTATTTCTCCCAGACAGCGGACGTGCAGAATGTCCCTTGATTTAGGAGTGTGTGCGTGTGTGTGTGTGTGTGTGTGTGTGTGTGTGTGTGTGTGTGTGGAGGAGGGATGAGAATAGAGAACTTGTACTAGTATCAAGAGATTATCATAAGGAAAATAATGTACAGAATAATATCGATAATTCTTGCAACATTATTTAATTAGTGGCTGATATTCCCTGTACATTATAGGTTGTGTAATAATGAAAATTTTTTGTTAATATTTCCAGAAGATTCAAATATATTAATGTAATATTGATTTAATCTGTGGATAATATGTCTTAAAGATTCTCTCAAGTCTTCATCGTTGCCCCAAATTTCCCCCAAAATTGTTGCTAGAAATTTATTTTTTTCGTGTTGGAGGAAAACAGAGCATCATTCTGCCTGAAGTGTTTTTGATATTAGTATGTGTTGTATGGTGTTAATGTGGAAAAATGATTACACACACACACACACACACACACACACACACACACACACACACACACACATACTCACTGGTGCCAGAAGACATTGTGCCAACATGTGTGAAGTTTGTTGATAAACTTCATAGTGTGTTCTCTCTCTCTCTCTCTCTCTCACGTTACCTGTTTATGTATACATGAATGTATTAATAAATCTCTATATTTATTCGTCTCTTTGTCCATCTATCTATCTAGTTATATATTTGTCTCTCTGTCTGTCTATCTATCGACTAGAATAATAGTGTGTGTGTGTGTGTGTGTGTGTGTGTGTGTGTGTGTTTAATGAAGTCATACTGTAGACTAACACATACTTGCATACTACAGGTTGTATGTAAGATCACCATCATCACTATCCCCATCATCATCATCATCAATAACACTACTACCACCACCATCACTACCACCATCACCATCATCCCCATCACTACCCCACCACCATCACCACCATTACCATCACCACCATCAATCCCTCTCTCTCCTCCACCAGGCACTGGAAGATCGCCGCCAACTACCAGAATCGGAAGATTGCCTGTGTTCCAGACATCCGGCTTGAGGATGGCTCTGGAAGCATGGTGAGTCAGGCTGAGTCAGGGGAAGTGTTGAGTCAGAATGAGTCAGGGGCAGTGCTGAGTAAGATGAGTCAGGGTAAGTCAGGGGCAGTGTTGGGTCAGGATGAGTCAGGGGCAGTGTGGAGTCAAGATGAGTCAGGTGGTAGTGTTGAGTCAAGGTGAGTCAGCGTGAGTCATGGGCATTTAATTTTCCAATAAGAATCCCTCTCAGGCAACTAACATTTAAATAATAGACTACCAAGACCAAAACAAAACAACAAAACAAGTGAGCATCAGCAACAGGGAGCACAACCTTCTCCTCGACACTCCTTCACTGTTTTAAAAGCATCGAACAACACTGAAAATCCATCTGCATATTACAAATTTCAATCGTTTATTTATTCGAGTGAGAAACAGGGGATCCAGGACTCTATTTCTTCTGATCGATTACCTTTTATCGTGTTTATGTTTTTATACAGCATCGAATACCATTGAAAGGGAGTGAAGACTTTAAGAGTTGTGTGTTATGGTTCAGGCGTCTATTTAAGAATTAAGAGTAAAAAAGGTATTCATATATTATTATACCAGATCTCTTTATGAAGTACACTTGTGAATTTTCATAATAAAGATATTAATAAAGTAGCCAGTGGGAGGCGTTCAGTTAATAAAGACATTAACATTTTATTGGTGACGAGGGTGACCAATAAATAGATTTATTTAGGAACAACTAATAAATAAGACATGATCTAGATGACCCCTCGTTCGTGGTGGATCAGTGACGACAGGATTACGTCAGCACGATGATAAACACCGCCGTCTGTGTTTGTTCAGTGACGGGGAGGGGGGGAAGTTGATTTGGTTGATAATATGCGTGGTTGTGTTACAAGCCTTTACGGGTCAAATAAGCACTACTGGCGGCCAACCTAATTAAACCATTAGACTTTGGGTTCTTTAGGATTAGGACCCATTAGGATTAGGTCTTTATATAAACCAGGACCTCATTAGGACTCTGCCCCAAGTTAAATGCTTAGGTTGATGGCTATTAGGACTGGGGGCCCAATAAAACTGAGGCCTTTCTAGTTATTGGTAATTTTAACACTTGATATTTGATGACCTGTTACTTAAAAATAATAAAAGGTTCAATTAGTCCTCTTACCACAATAATTATCCCTACATGTCACTGTCATTACAACGTAGCTTAATTACAACCACAATGAAAATACCTTAAAACTGAACACAAGAGCATACACAAGTTAATAAAGGCCCAAACACGTTAATCAGCCCACCCACCACCTACTAACAACCTCTGAGAACTAATGAAAATACCTGTCGGGTAATCGCCCCGGGGATCTGAAGAGGAGATGCTGGCGAGTTAGTAAGAAGGCAGACAATGGTGTTTTGCTCGTCGACGTTGTGATGTTTTAACCCTTGTATGACGTGACTTTTAGATGTTTTGATGTGATGGAATGGGATTTATGGGATTTATTCGTATTTTCTTATGATGAATTTTCGTTATTATTTTAGTTATTCAGAGTTAATATTAGTGAGGGGTGTGATTAATTATTATTGTTTAGTTATTAATAGTTAAATTACTGTTATTTATTAGTTGAAAGGGATACCATCATTATATGTTTAGTAGTCAGGGATACGATTATTGTCTCAACATAAGTGAACTAGAAATTATCGTTTACATTCGGTAAGAGAAAACTACGGAACTATACTGATTTTGTATAGGAAGATAAAGCTCCCAGAATACTTTGCTCTGTGGAGTTTTCGAGTTTTCTGACTTCGATTTTAGGTTGGTTCTTTTGGTTCTTTTGTTTTTCTTTTTGTCTTGTTGGGTTGGGTTAGGTTCACACACACCGTGGGTCAGGAGTAGGATAGGAGGTTACGCCAGGTCCTTCTGGTTTCTCTGGTTAGAGATTAGGTTAGATGTGATAATTTTTTTGTTTGGCCAAATTTATTTCTCCACCATTTTTTGGATGTTATTGATAAACTAAAGAACTTTTCTTCTTCTATTGAAAAATTTCGTACCTCGGCTTCTTAAACCGATCACCTGTTCTTAATTTTTTTTTTTTTAAGTTTTCTGCAATAGGTCGGGTTAGGTTAGGTCAGGTCAGGTCAGGTTAGGTTTCGTTAGGTTTCGTTTCGTCAGTTTTTTGCGTGTTTTTACCCCACAATTTCCCCCATCCTCAAAGCTCTGCTCACTTTGCGCGATCAAAATTGCATATTTAAAGTGATATCGAAAAGTAAAAAAAATCAAATAAATAAAAAAATATATTTTCGACAAACTGTAGAGTAAAGTTTTTTTCTTCTCTATTATCCTACATACAAATAAATATAGAATTTCGTGGTTGTCTGAATCTTTCCTTTATTTACTTAATGGCAGTGGAGACTAACCATGTTTACTCTGAGAAATTGGAAACTATCTTCCCCTTACTCAGAGGAAACTGTCAGTGAGGGGTCAAGTAAATGCTGTCACTCTGGACTATCTGTTCCTGGATATTTCATTGTTATATATTCTTAGACTTTTATTAGTAGTTATTTAAGATCATTTAGTTACCGTATCATTCATCACCTTTAGATAATGATAATTTTCTCTCTCTCTCTCTCTCTCTCTCTCTCTCTCTCTCTCTCTCTCTCTCTCTCTCTCTCTAGTATAAAACAAAGAAACAAAACAAAACCACCCTTCTCCTCCTCCTCACTCACAACAACAAAAACCACAACAACAACAACAACAACAACAACAACAACAACAGTAAAACTACACTCCCCCCTATAAATTTTTGCTTTGTGCTGCCAAAACTAACCCATCCCCACACACACACACACATACACACACATGCATACATATTAGAGAGAGAGAGAGAGCCTTCTGTATGTATAATTAAAGAAAGTATTAACAGTCATAACAGCACAGGTCGACTTTGATATGTCATAAACCCTCGTTAATTACTTTAAGCTTTTTTTTTTCCTTCTATATACCTGGGAAGCTTTCACTGTAAAGCTTATATATAAAACCTAATATTTTCACTTTCATCTGGCTATATATTAAACCTGGAAGCTGTCACTATAAAGCTTACCTGCATGTACTGTATAGGTACCTGTAAAACGTATGGATATAACAAGCACAGGTGATCAAATAGTCCTCTCCCTGCACACCTGTAATAGTAAAGAATATCGCTAATTACCTCAAATAATTAATAGTTACAGGATGCGTAGAGACTTTTTGTAATGTCTTATTTCTAACTAGTTCATTATATATCCTGCTGTATCGTATTTTGTAATGTATTAATTCTAACTAGTTCATTATATATCCTGCTGTATCGTATTTTGTAATGTATTAATTCTAACTAGTTCATTATATATCCTGCTGTATCGTATTTTGTAATGTATTAATTCTAACTAGTTCATTATATATCCTGCTGTATCGTATTTTGTAATGTATTAATTCTAACTAGTTCATTATATATCCTGCTGTATCGTATTTTGTAATGTATTAATTCTAACTAGTTCATTATGTATCCTGCTGTATCGTATGAAATCTTGCTAGGGTAGTGTAGGTGTATGGTTAAGGAGGAAATTCTGTATTACCTTAGTTGTATTTTCTTTATGTCTATTAGTATGGTTTTAATGTGCAGTATGTCGTTTTGTTTATCTATATATCTTTCTGTCTGTATGTCTGTTTAAATATGTCTTCTTTTTTGTATATTTAACTGTCTATGTGTGTTTATCTGCCTTTGTGTTTATCTTTACCTGTCTGTCCACGTAAACATCTGTCTTTCAGTATGTTTGTTTGCCTCTCTTAAAATATACCTGTCATGTCTACCCGTCTACCTGTGTATAAGTATCTGCGCCGTGTGTGTCAGTACTTTTGTGTGTGTCTGTCAGCTCGTCTGTGTGTGTCAGCTCGTCTGTGTGTGTCTGTCAGGTTAGAGATATACAGACCAAGATGTTTACAAACCTAGCAAAGAGATAAGCAATGGCTGAATCACACACACACACATGGATACGACCAACCCCCAACACGTTAGTTCATTTCCTAACCCAGCAACCACGAGTAACATAACCAGGTGTTGGCGACTCAGGTTCTTACATACTGCCCGAAGTGAAGTCAGAGGGCAACATTGATCAATACTGGGGGGGTGGTTGCAGGAGAAGTTTACCGCTGCAGTCAGATATCCTCAAATAGCTCCCACCTGCAACATTTACGTCACAAAACTCCCAGGAATAGTACAGTTCAAGGAATCTTCACAAATTTGGACATATTTGTGGATGTTATTTTTAAAGGTATGTGTAGTATTTTGTGGTGTTATGATCATCTGGTTTATGTTACGTAAAAAAAAAGTTCCAAGGCACATACAGTAAAATATACGGTTCTTGTTGATGATTTAATTAAAACTCTATGTAGATTTTTTATTCTTTTTTTTCGATGATTTAGCTCATTACAGACAATTTTCCTAATGTTTTAAAAGACTGTTTTATATTACGTACAAAATGAAGGTCATAGTATTTCATAAGTTATAGTTCCCAGATTAGCAAGAGTTTATATAAGTAAAAAAATACATGGAGAATATTTGTAATAGATCTGAATTAAATTTTGTGTTTTAATTCAACCAGAATATACGGTATATTTTGCGGACCTTTTGAGAATCTATAGTAAATTTAACCATGTCACTAAAACATTACCACACAAGGATGACAAGGAATGGTTACTGATAGTGTTAACTCAGGATCGAGAAAGAAAAACACGTGGGGGAGGAGGAGTGGGGGGAAGGAGGGGAGGAAACAATATCCGTCAGATCAGGAGAGGCGGTAACTTATTGAATCTCTGGTTAAAAATTTTGACTCGTGTTTTCATTCTGGCAATAAAAGATGAACATTTAGGTTTGCCGTATAAAAAAGGACAGACCGATATTAATATTGTCTTAATTTTTTAGTTCATATCTGTTTATAAAAATAATTACATAGACTATTTACTTCAGTATTTTTAATGACATTGTTCACTGACCTCATGAAACAAA